GGGACGCAGGGAGCCCTGAGCCCGGCACGGGGAGCGGGCGCCGGGCCCCAGGGACGCAGGGAGCCCTGAGCCCGGCATGGGGAGCGGATGTCAGGCGCTCCGAGGGACGCAGGGAGCCCTGAGCCCGGCACGGGGAGCGGGTGCCGGGCCCCAGGGACGTAGGGATCCCTGAGCGCCGCCTCTCCGCAGGCTGCGCCTTCCTCACCTACTGCGCCCGCGACTCGGCGCTCAAGGCCCAGAGCGCCCTGCACGAGCAGAAGACGCTGCCGGGGGTAAGTGTGGCCATGCGGACCTGGCACACCGGGAACATCCCCGACTCCTTTCCCTCGGGCGCCCCAGCGCGCGCTCCCCGTCGGCCCCGCGGCCCCGGGAGCCGCTCCAGCGGCCGCAAGCCGAGGCATCGATTTTCCCTCCTTTCGGCGGGCTTCGACCTCCCGCGCTTAACAAAGTGAAAATAAATATTTAATTATTCCCCTAAATAAAAATCGATAGCGCCGCCGGGCGGCTGAGCCAAGCGCGGGACCCGTGAATTTTGCCCGCACGTGCCCGCCGCGGAGCCGGGCGGCGCAGGGGGCAGCGCCGCAGAGCCCCGGGTGGCCCCCGGCGCTGGGGGCAGCCCTGTCCGGACCACACTTGTCCCGTGAATGTGTCGCGGCGCATGGAGAGACGCTTTGGGATGGGGCGCCAGGAGGGCAGCAATGACAGGGCTGGGCTGTCCCAGCCCGTGTTCTCTTCCATGCATCAGTAGGCTTCAGAGTGAACGCTCCACTGTGCTGGGGGTCAGGAAGCTGCCCCCCGTGGTTCTCAGGGCCGTCCCCACGTCAGGGCTCCCCGTGGGGCTGTGTGGCCCCGGGGCTGGTGGCCGTGGGGCCGTGGTGGCTGTGGGGAGGCCACGGGTGCCGCGCCAGGGTCCCTCCGGGTCCTCCTGGCGCCGACCCTGTATCCGCACCGTTTCTTTTGCCATTTTGGGTTGGATTCCTGGGAATTTGGCGTCTTCATGGATGGGCCGTGTCCCTTGGGGGGGGTCTTGGGTGGGGGGTGGGACCCGGACCCCCGCGGGTGGCCGCGCCCCAAGCCCCGCCCACTGTCGCGGTAGGGGGCGTGGCCAAGGCGGGGGCGGGGCGTGGAGAGACTCCGCCCCTCGGCCCGGCTCGGCCCGGCGGGGCTGCGGCCGCCCCTCCCCCCGCCCCTCCTCCCGCACCGCGCTGCGCCCAGCGGAGCCGAGCGGCACCGAACCGGGCCGAGCGGTACCGAACCGGGCCGAGCGGTACCGAACCGGGCCGAGCGGTACCGAACCGGGCCAAGCGGCACCGAATCGGGCCGAGCGGCACCGAACCGGGCCAAGCGGCACCGAACCGGGCCGAGCGGTACCGAACCGGGCCGAGCGGCACCGAACCGGGCCGAGCGGTACCGAGCCGACTGGCGCCGAACCGGAGCCAGTGGTACCGAGCCCAGCGGCGCCGAACCGGGCCGAGCGGCACCGAACCGGGCCGAGCGGCACCGAGCCGAGCGGTGCCGAGCCAGGCCGAGCGGCAGCAGCGAGCCGGGCGAATCGGATCCGAGCGGCACCGAAGCGAGCGGGGCCAGGCGGAGCGGCACGGAACCGAGCGGCACCGAGCCGTGCCGAGGCGGGCCGGGCCGAGGCGGAGCGGGCCATGCAGCTGCCGCAGGTGGCGGCGCCCGGGCCGCGGCCGCCGCTGCTCTGGGTGCCCGGCGGCTCCAAGCTGCTCTGCATCGAGGTGGGGACCCGCTCCGTGCGTGCCCGGGGGGACGGCGGCACCGGCGGCGCGGGCTGCGCCGACACCCAGCGCCGGGGGGACGGCCCCGGGGGGGTGTTGCACCCTGCGGGGTGCGGGAGCTGCGGGGTGTTTCACCCCGCGGTGCGGTGGTGCGCGGGGATGGATGGGCTGGGGTGTCCGGGGTGCCGGGTGTGCGGAGGTGCGGGGTGTTTGGGGTGTCGGGTGTGCGGAGGTGCGGGGTGTCGGGTGTGCGGAGGTGCGGGGTGTTTGGGGTGTCGGGTGTGCGGAGGTGTGCGCCTGTGCGCAGGTGAGGCTGTGCGGGGTGGCTGTCCAGCGGGGCTGGGCGGCAGTGCCGGGCTGGCTGTAGGGGTGTGGTTGTGCGCGGTTGTACGCGGGGCTGTGCTGGGTGTGGGTGCGCTGTGCGGTTGTGCGTGGGGGTGTGCTGAGGCGGGTGTGCGGCGGCACACGTGGGTGTGCGGTGGTGCTGAGGGGGGGCGAGGGGCTGCTGTGGGTGTGCGGTTGTGCTGGGACCCACGGACGGCTGTGCATCCGGCTGTGCTGGCGCAAGCGAGYGGCTGTGCGCAGTTGTGCACAGGGGTGTGCCGGGGCGGCCGTGCGGTTGTGCGCTGGGGTGGCTGTAGGGCAGCAAGCTGTGTAGCTGTACCCAGGCGGTGCCCCCCACCTCCTTTGGCCCATGGCTGCTGGTCTCCRGCAGGCTGTAGCCGTGGAGCACGGCTGCCTGTACCCGAGCTGCTGTCTCCCGCACCGGCTGTTGGCTGGCTCCACTACAGTGCCTGGGTGCTGGAGGTGCACTTACATGGGGAGGTGAAGGTGTAGGGTTCAGCCCCATTGTAGACATCAGAGACTCTGCACCCCGTGTGTCCCATCCCCAGGAGGTGGGCAGGAGTTCTTGGCCCTCCTGTCTCCAGCAGGTCCCATGGCTATGGGGGTGAATAGATGGGCGAGTGTTGGGACGTGGGAGTGTTGGGGATGGGGGATGGATGTGTAGGTGTTACAGGGATGTGTAGGTGTTACAGGGACGGGTAGGTGTTACAGGGACGGGTGGGACGGGTGGTTGTGGAGATGTTGTGGAGGGCTGGATGGACAGTCATTGGGTGTTGGGCAACGGGTGTAGGGATGGACGGGTGTCTGATGTGGGTGGAGAGGTGGCTGCCTGAGTGTTGGAGGTGTGCATGGAGGGAAGGGTGTTAGAAGGGGTGAAATGGGGTGGATGGGTGTTGGAGTGGAGGCTGTTGGGGATGGATGGGTGTCAGGAGGGATGAAGGGCTGGATGCTGGGATCAAGGGAAGGATGAAGGGCTGTCTGGGTGTTTGGAGGGGTGATGGTGTGAGCGTAGGGAGGGATGGGAGGTGGATGGGCGGGTGTTGCACAGGTGGAAGGCTGCATGGGTGGGTGCTGGGGCGGCTGTTTCGCAGGGCTGTTGTGCGGCTGGGCTGTGCAGGACAAGCGGGAGCCGGGGGCAGCGAGGCCAGAGGGGTCTCGCTGGGGTGACGGTGACGGCACTCGAGGAGCTTCATGGCCCAAATCCTCCCTGCATCCCCCCACCCTGAAATGGGGCCACTCCCGGTCCTCGGAGCATCCCTGCCTCTTCCCCGTTTCCCTGGAGATGAGGCAGTTGCCGTGGAAACCTGCCTCCCCTTCATCAGTCCTCCTCTTCCTTAGCACCGCCGAGCCCGGCGGTGTCTCCTGCCGCTTGTGGGGTGTCCATGCGCAGACGATAGTGCYGCACACCCCTCCGTCGGCGGCTGTCTCCCGGGTGTACCCGGGCGGTATCTGCGCRCTGTACCCAGCGGCTGTGCGTGCGTGTGAGGGTGTAGCCGCACGCGTGTGCCRTACCCGCGAGCGCCTGTGCGGGTATGCGCGTGTGCTGCCTGTCCGCCTGTGCCCGCGCCGTGTGCCCGCGTACAGGCGGTGCCCGCGGGTGACGCACACAGCCGCGCGCGCCTGTGCCCCGTCACGCGTGACCGCGCGCCCCGTTGCCGTGGCGACCCCCCGCTTGTTGCCGCGGCAACCGCTGGAACTGCAACCACAGAGCCCAAAAAAGCAGCAATGTGGCTGGGGGGGCAGGCAGCATGCGCCTGTAGCCCGTGCGCCTGTAGCCTGTGCGCCTGTAGCCCGCGCACCCCCACGGGGACACCCGTCACCCCGCGGCRCTGCCGCCGCCACCGCCTCTGCAGTCCTTTGCGGTGGAGGGAAGCGGGCACCCRGCCAAAACGGCACCCGCCTGCGGCACCCGGCGCTCCCACGTGGCCCACGGGCCGGTGCGGAGCCCCCCCAACCCCGAACGGCCCCGTGGGGCCGTTCGGGGTTGGGGGGGCTCTGCACCAGCCCGTGGTGACACTCAAATGGGGACAACCCGTGTTTTGTCCCCAAAACCTCGTCCCCCACGCCGTGATGCTCCCGGGGGTCTCTGAGCCCGATCCGGTGTGGGCAGCTAATCCAGGCCTGCTCTTGTGAGTGACCTCATTGAGGGACCCCTTTCTCCCCCGGCCMCTTCCCATGTTGGCACCAGGCAGGTGCCAAACCATGGCCTGGATTGTAGTGCGAATTGGGGCCTTGCATGGCACGGGCACCTTGCAGGCTGTAACGCCCGCGGTGTCTTGCAGATGAACCGCCCCATCCAGGTGAAGCCAGCGGACAGCGAGGGCCGAGGAGGTAGGTACCCACCGCCGGGCTCCGTCCCGCGCCCTGGTCACCGCTGTGTCTCCGAGGCGCCGGCGCCGCGGGTGCCGCGCGCGCCCACGGGCTCGCTTGGGCTTGCAGAAGAGCGCAAGCTCTTCGTGGGCATGCTGGGCAAGCAGCAGAGCGAGGAGGACGTGCGGCGGCTCTTCGAGCCCTTCGGGCACATCGAGGAGTGCACCATCCTGCGGGGCCCTGACGGGGCCAGCAAAGGTGGGCGCCGCGTCGCGTCTYATCGCGCGGGCGCCCGCTGGCCGCGGCGGCCGCCCCACGCGCCGCTCTGTGCCCGCAGGATGCGCCTTTGTCAAGTACGGCAGCCACAGCGAGGCGCAGGCGGCCATCGGCGGCCTCCACGGCAGCCAGACCATGCCGGTGAGCGCGGAGTGCGGGGCGGCGTGGCGGCGCGGGCGCCCCGCGCCCCGTGCCCCGCCGACGCGCCGTGTCGCGCAGGGCGCCTCCTCCAGCCTCGTGGTGAAGTTCGCCGACACGGACAAGGAGCGCACGCTGCGGCGCATGCACCAGATGGCCGGCCAGCTGGGCATCTTCAACCCCATGGGCGTCCCGTTCGGCGCCTACGGCGCCTACACGCAAGCGGTAGGCGGGCGGCGCAGCGCGGCGCGGGGGGTCCCGCGGGGCCGCGCGCCCCGCAGATCATGCAGCAGCAGGCGGCGCTCGTGGCGGCGGCGCAGGGCACCTGCCTCAACCCCATGGCGGCCCTCGCGGCCGCCCAGGTGCAGCAGATGGCCGCCTTCAACGTGGGCGGGCTGGTGGCGGCGCCGCTCGCGCCCTCCTCAGGTAGGCGGCGCGCGGGGCGGGCGGGCGGCGGCGCGGGCGCCTCGCCTTCCCGCTCCTCCCCGCCGTCCTCGCGCAGGCGCCAGCACGCCGCCCGTGCCCAGCATCGCCGCCCCCGTCGGCATCAACGGCTTCAGCGCGCTGCCGCCGCAGGGCAGCGGCCAGCCCGCCTCCGACGCCATCTACGCCAACGGCATCCACCCCTACCCAGGTGCGCGGTGGCATGGCATGGCACAGCACGGCATGAGATGGCACGGGATGGGACAGGACAGCACGGGATGGGATGGCACGGGATAGGATGGGATGGGATGGCTCCAGCTGGCACCTCGCTCACCGCTCGTCCTTCTCCCTTCTCTTGCAGCGCAGAGCCCCGGYGTGGCCGACCCGCTGCAGCAGGCGTACGCGGGCATGCAGCACTACGCAGGTCTGCCCCTTCCCGCCCGGCCTCCTCCTCCCTTCCTGGGGGATAAGGGATGCAGCCGGAGCTGTGGGTGCAGGAGATGCCCTGGCCTGCACCAGGGTGGAGGCCCCAGGGAGAGGAGACCCAGGGGTGGTGCCATGGGGTGCGGAGGGGGAGCCATGGRGCGCTGTGGTCCCCACGGAGCCGGCTCTCCCTGCGCATGAGGGAAGATCCCACGTGCATCCCGGAGCCGCGCGGTGCCGCGTGGATCTCAGCGCCCCTCCCCTCTGTGTGTTGCAGCCGCGTATCCGGCCGCCTACGCGCCCCTCGGGCAGCCCTTCGCCCAGGCAGCGCCCCTCGTCCCGCAGCAGCAGCGCGAAGGTGAGAGCTCCCTGCCCCGAGCGGAGCGGTGTCCGGCTGCACCGCGCTCTGCACGGCGCCCACGGAGCCGCGGCGCAGCCCCACGGCGGGGAGGAGGAGGAAGGTGCCAGCGGCCTCCGGGTTGACGCGTGGCTCTCCTTTGTGTGTCACCCAGGTCCCGAGGGCTGCAACCTGTTTATTTATCACCTGCCCCAGGAGTTCGGGGACRCGGAGCTCACGCAGATGTTTTTGCCTTTCGGCAATGTCATCTCCGCCAAAGTCTTTGTGGACCGTGCCACGAACCAGAGCAAGTGCTTTGGTGAGTGCCCACGGGCTCCCCGGTTCTGCCGGTCCATGCCTGGTGCATGGAAGCCTTCGGCCTCGGGGCGGCTCTACCGGACACAGACAGGCACCCGCCCGGGTGCAACAGGGGAAGCCACCACTGCAGGGACATCCCGACACTTGGGATCCACCTTGGGGTCCTTCGTGTCCCCGAGGTGGCTGCCTTGGCCGCTCGGGGAGCAGTGGGACCCCAGGACGGCGATGACGCCCCTGCAGCGCTGAGCCCCTCGGCGTGGGCGCTCCGGTGACGACCCCATCCTTGCTCCCTCCGCGCCCCCAGGTTTCGTCAGCTTTGACAATCCGGCCAGCGCCCAGGCGGCCATCCAGGCCATGAATGGCTTCCAGATCGGCATGAAGCGGCTAAAAGTCCAGCTCAAGCGGCCTAAAGACGCCAACAGACCCTACTGACCCGCTCACCCCGGCCCGATCAAGAGGTGCKTGCGGACACAGGGCCCCGGCCCTTCCCGGGTGGGGAGACCTGGCAGGCTTCGGGTCGGGACTGCAAAGCRACCCTGGTGTTGCCAGGTTTTCTGCAGAAATTTCCCGGCCTGAGTGCCAGGGGCTTCGCTCRCATGTATGGATATACGTGCATTATATATGTGTGCTTTTTAGATTTACTGCTTTTGTCTCGTTTTTGCCCACAAAGCCCACAGCAGCGTGTCCCTTTGCTGTGTTGCAGGCTGGGCGCCCCGCGGTGTCCGAAGAGTATCCCCCTTCCCCCGTGCAGTATCCCGACTTGTAGCTCTCTTTCTTTGCAACGCATCCCGGAGCAGGATGAGGAGGAGGAAGAGGAGGAGGAGGAGGAGGAGGAGAGATGCAGAAGAGAGAGCGCCCGCCATTCCGGTCGTACCCTTTTCTTTTCTTTTTTGGTTTCCGGCGTTGGCCTCGGTGCGAGGAAGAGCGGAAGGAAGAGAGACGCGATGGAGCGGGGCCGCGCGGCGCCTGGCCGCGACACCGCCGAGCCCCTCGCCATTCCCGGGAGCGCCCGGMCGCGGGACCGGACCTGCCTTCCTTTTGTATTCCTATTTTTATTTTTTAAAGCACTCATTTGCTGCTACAACTTTTCGGAGGAGGGAACGAGGAAGAGGAGGCTCCAGGTGGATTATAAACCAAAGCCAGTGGGATCAGAGCGGGCTCAATGCACGGACAACGATTGCTTGAAAAGGGAAAGAGAAATCGCGTTGGGATGTTTTTTTCCACAACTGGCTGAAGGAAGAAAAAAAAAAAGAGGAAATCAAGGGATAAGAGGATGTTGGACTAATAGAAGATATATATAAATAAGTATATATATATATAAATATATATATATCCCACAGAGCAGGGGGAAGGAGGTGCACCCCCCAGCTCGTCACTGGCACAGGGACATAGGATTACTTGTTTCAGAGTCATATCATTCCTTAGAGTTTAGGGACCAAAGGACTACTGCTTTTTTTAAATATATATATAAATAAATCAATTTAAAAAAGAAAAAAAAAAACAAGAAGAAAAACGAAAGGAAAAGGTTGAATCAACGAGGGAAAAATAAATAAATAAATAAAAAGAACCCAAGAAGCCCGAGCCGTCGCGCGTGGAAGCTGCAGGTGCGGCCGGAGGAGCCGGCTGAGGGCGGCCGGGCCGATGGCGGCAGCTCCAYGGGCCCCGCTCGCCCCGGGACGGCCGCGCGCTGCCTCTTTGCCCCTTTTCTTGCTTCCTTTTTTTTAGTTTTTCCAGGAAAAACAAACAAAAACAAAACCACAAACACCAAACAGACAAGTGAGGTTTCGGCAGACAAGAGGCGAACCGAAATAAACTTCTTTTGTCCACGTGCTGCGCGGGGTTGTTCTTTGGAGCGGGGGCTCTTTGGGGCTCCGGCGCCCTGCGCTCCGGCTCCGCTCCCGCCGCGCTCCTGGCCTTCCCGCAGGCCTCTCCGCGCCCCCGCAGCTGCTGCCTGTTTTCCCGAGCGCGTCCCGCTTCATTTCCAGGGAAGAAGGTGCCGCGGTGCCACCTTGGCGGCTCTGGGGACGTCGCGGGTCCCGGCGTGAGGATCCCGCGGCGCCGCCGGCCCCTCTGCCCCAGCGGGGCCGGGACCGTTGTCTCCCCGGGGCTCCCTTTTTTTAACGATTTGTTTCCTCGTGCACTTGAATMCCCAGGCGGGAGCGCGTCCGGGCCGGGGCTCCGGGGTCCGTGGCCGCTGCTCCGCCTCCGCAGCACAAAGCCAGCAGGAACTGCCGTCTCTAAGGGCTACTCTTTCGCTGCCATAGTCTCTTGCTACCTTGGAGGACCCAGCAGGATGACCCCGGCGAGGGCTCCGTGTAAAGCTACCTCTGCCATAACGGCTGCTCCCCCTGCTCCGCCGCCCGCCGGGGCCCTTCCCGCCGGCGCTTTGGGGCTGCTCCTTCCTTTGGGTTTCCTGGTGGCGCGAGGCCGGAGGCGCCGGCTCTCTACCTTTGTAGTGACTGGTATCTGCTTCGACTGAAATAAAGCACAGTCCAGTGGGAATTTTCCTTCTCGTTTCGCCCGTGAGTGTCTTCCTTGGCCCCTGCGTTGTCCCCGCGTGCGGGGACACAGTGCCAGCCCTTGGCTGGGGCACTGTCCCTTCTCCTTGTCGGGAGCCCTTCTCCGTAGCAGGGTCCCTTCCCCTGCCGCTATCCCTTCCCTGGGGGCTGATCCCATCTCCGGGGCGCTCCCTTCCCCAGGGCGCCTTCCCTTCCTCACAATGTGATCCCTGCTCCGTGGCCGGGTCCCTTCTCCGCAACCCCATCCCATCTCCATGCTCAGCCCCCTTCTCCAYGGCACAGGCCTTTCCCCTTGGAGCAATCCCTTACCCAGGGCATGTTCCCTTCCCGCTAACTCTGGCCCTTCTCCAAGACTCCCTTCCTCCTTTGCAGCGTGGTCCTTGTCCCCACGGCTTGGCCCTTCCCCACGGCACAGCCCTCACTCGATGAAGTGACCCCTTCTCCTTCCCCATGACAATCCCTGCTCCGTGGCCCCCTCCCCATGGGAAGGGAGAGCTGGGGCTGGTGGCCAAGGTGCCCAGAGCTACCTGTGCCCGGGCCAGGGGCTTYGGGAGGCGGCTGCAGCGAGGCTGGCAGAGAGCGGCACAGCAGCCCCGCGCGTTTTTTAAAGAATTTTAATAAGCTAAAACAGATTCCTTGCCTCTTTGTGTGTGTCAGTGTATTTGTCTTTTTGTTGTTGTTTTTTTTTTTTTTGCTTCGGTTTCTCGTCGTCGGTAAAAACATGAGCACTGTAAACGCGAGGAGGGGCGGCCGCCCCCGGCAGCGGCGGGCGCGCGGTGCCACCCGTCCTGCTCCGCTCCGCAATGGGCACTGGGGACACGGGGACGGCGGGGACAGGGGAGAAGGGAGCGCGAAAGGCGCCTCGTGCACAGCTCGCTGCTCTACACSTATGTACAGGCCGGCCATCCCTGCGCGGAGGCCGGGCCGCGTGGAGGCCGGGCCGCGCGGAGGCTGTTCCGCGGCTGCTGCCGGGCCCAGGGCCGCTCAGTTTGTGTACACCTGAGTCCCGATCACACGCATGATCTCCTTCTGGATTTTGGGGTCCTGAGTATTGATGTTGGCATCTCCCACCTGGCCATCCTCGTACCTGCGAGGGCAGAGCGGGCTGAAGGGGTGCCCGCACRTGCCCCCGCTGCGCAGGGCGGCTGGGACGCCGGCCGGCCCTACTCACACAAAGAAGAAGCGGGTGCAGACGTGGTCCGAGACGGGGCAGACCCAGATGTTGCCGTGTTTCTGCAGGTCCTTGGACGTGATGACTGCCAAGGCAAGGCGCTGTGAGGAGGGGCCCGCGGGGACAGCCCAGGCGCCCATCACCCCTGCACAGGACACGGCCCCGGAAGGGGACAACCTGCCCTTGGGACCCTCTGCCCCATGGATGCACTAAGCCCCGCTGCCATCACCACTCCTGGAGGAAAAGGGGCCCCACAGGCGCGTGGCAGGAAGGGGCAGGACGTGGTGACAAGGGTGGTGACGAGCGGGGTGTCCCCGTGCCCTCCGCGGGCCCCGCACCTTCGCAGAGCGCGATGCAGTTCAGGTTGCGGCTCTGCAGGAACCGGGACTGGATGGAGCGGGTCTGTGGGGAGAGCGGGCGGCGCTGAGCGCGCGGCCGCCCCGCTGCCGCCGCTGCCGCCGCCGTCCCGCCCCGTCACCTGGGGAATGGTGTTCATCCGGTTGTACCTCTGCACCAGCTCGTCCTTCGAAGGCATCCGGTGCTGTCCCTTGCCCATCCCTGCGGGACAAGCGACACCATCCGCGTCACCTCCTAGTCCCAGCCCGGGACGTGGGGGCTCCAGGTGCCGCTGGGCACCCATGGGGTTCCTCGTGTGCCAGGGATCACAGAGAGGGGACGTGTGTCCCCGACCTGCACCCGGAGCCCCGCGGCTGCGGGACTCATGCCAAGCTGTGCACGGAGACACATTGTCTCCACCAAGGCACCTGAGAGCTACTCCTTCCCTAAAAACGATGGATTTTGCCCTAGTGACCAGAGTGGCGCAATGGAAATGCCGGATGGGGAGGGGAGYGGCTGGTCCAGGTGAGAAGGATGATGCCCCCGGACCCTCCTCCCCATGCGGCTCCTCCCRTTGAGCGGAGCCAGGTCCGTGCCCATGCAGGGAGTGGGATGGGAGCGCAGGCGGGACGAGGCGGCGCCCRCGGCCTCTTACCTGAGTATCCAAAGGAAATACTGGAGATGGGGCTCAGATAGATGCCCTTGCCATAGGCTGCTCCATGCAGCTTGCAGGGAAACAGCAGGGTGAGTGGCGCGGCGGGAGCGGGACGGGCRGCGGCGCCGGGGCGCCCCGGGAGCCCGGGCCCCACGCGGACGGGCTCATCCCTGTCTGGGCGCCCTGCTCTCCCTGCCTACCTGCTGCCCTCCCGCCGGCCGCGCGGCCCCTYGCGCCTGCGGCCGCGCCGGCGCAGCGTTACCTGCAGCTTGGTGTAGGACGCGTTCACCAGCCCGTTGCGGAGGATGGAGTGCCAGTTCTCAATGTGAGAGCCGCTGCAAGGGCCGCGGGCGCCTCAGCCGCCGGCCTGGGGCGCCTGTGGCACCCGTGGGCGCGGGGCTGGCCCCCGAGGGGCCCGTCGCCCTGGGCCCTACTCACTGGAAAGCGAAGGTGCTGCCGTAGAGCTTCTTGGCGGTGCGGAAACGGGCCTCCTTGGCCGGGGGGCTGCTCAGCAGGAGGAACTGGTGTGAGGTGTGCATGAACTTCAGCTGCTACCGGCGGAAAGGGAGCAGCCGGGGCAGCGCCGGCGGCGCCGCGGGAGAGACGGGCACAGATCAGGCACGGCAGCCCCGCGCCCGCCGGCAGCGGCAGGCCGGGCGGGCAGGGGCTGCTCTGCCATTGGCAGCGGCAGCCTGCGGCGTGCATCCCGTGTGCCGCATCCTGTACACCGCATCCCGTGTGCCGCATCCCGTACACCGCATCCCGTACACTGCACCCCGCATGCCGCATCCCGTACGCCACATCCCGTACACTGCATCCCGTACGCCGTATCCCGCACGCCGCATCCCATGTGCCACATCCCATGTGCYGCATCCCATGTGCTGCATCCCATGTGCTGTGTCCCATGTGCTGTGTCCAATATACCGTATCCACATGCTATCCTGCACACCATATCCCACATGCCATATCCCATGTGCCATATCCCGCATGTTGCATCCCGCCCGCTGCAACCCACATGCCATATCCCGTGTGCTGTATCCCATGTGCTGCATCCCATGTGCCATATCCTGCACATTGTCTCCTTCATGTCATATCCCACACACCATATCCCACATGCCATATCCCACTTGCCATATCCCTCATGCCGTATTCTATGTGCTGTATCCTGCACACTACATCCCTCACACCACATCCCACGTGCCACATTCCATGTTCTGTATCCCTCATGCTGTATCCCATGTGCCATATCCCACATTCCATATCCCTCATGCTGTATCCTGCGTGCTGTATCCCGTGTGCTGTATCCCTCACTCTGCATCCTGCACGCTGTATCCCAAGTGCCGTATCCCACGCGCTCCTCCCGGGACCGCTGGCCACTGTGTGCCATGGGGCCGAGCTGGGGAGCGAGGCCACTTACCCTGCTGAGAGGCAGCTTGACAATGTGGGATCTGTTGCTGGAGATTATCCTGGGGAAGAGGAGGAGAGGGGAGGTCGAGCAGGGCGGCCGGGGTCCCATGCGAGCCATGTCAGGCCCTGGGTGTCTGGTGGCCACGTGGGGAGCTCTTGCCGGGGTGCCTGTGTCGCCTGTCCCCCCAGCCCTCAGCCTTACCACTGCAGGAGGGGATGTGCCAGGGGGTCCAGCTTGTCCATCTGCTTCTTGATCTCCAGATAGGATCCCTGGACGAGACACGGGRCAAGTGAGAGGGGGTGCAGGTGGGTCCCCTGTGCACTGTGCAGGGGCACAAGGCTGGGCAGGGTACCTGCGTCATTTCCCGGATGGACATCACGCTGTCCAGGGCCTTCTGCAGCCGCTCGTAGTTCTTCTTCTGCACGTGGGGCAGGAGAGGGGCGGCTGCTGGAGGGGGCTCCGGGTGCTGGCGCCGCGCAGCCCGGAAGCACCGGAGACCTGCGCCGCCCCCCGGCCCGACAGCGCTTACCTTGGGGTTGAAGGCAAGTGTTTTGGGGTCGTTGGGGTCCACCACGGAGGGGTAAGGCTCGAAGATGATGCTCTTGCGGGGGGACTCCAGGGCCGCGCGGCACATGGCCACGAGCAGGTCCACCACCTGGGTGCAGAGCAGCTGCTGAGGGTAGCAGCGGGAGACAGGGTGCCCCAAAGTGCCCCCAGGGCTGCGGCAGCCCCTGTGTCTGCTCACAGCCCCCTCGGACCTTCACCCTCACCCCAGGGCTGGATGTGGTCCCTGAGGATGGCACCGGGCAGCCACCCCCAAGTTGCCACCCTCGGCACCCACGTTGCCCGCCCCACCGCGATCCCCACGCGCCGCTACCTCAGCGCCCGTGGCCACCTCCTCGGCGGCGCCGGACATCACGCCGAGCGTGTAGAAGGAGAAGACGCAGAGCTCGCGGGTGCACACAGCCGGCTGCGGGGGAGATGGCGCCGCGCCGGTGACGGGGCCCCACGGTGCCTCTGCGCCCGCGCGGCCCCCGCGCCCGCCCCGGCCTCGGCACCTTGAGCATGGAGCCGTTCTGGAAGACGTGCTGCTCGTCGCACACCACGCAGTACTCGTTGAGCGTCGGGATCCGCTGCTCCGCGTACTTCATGATCTGCGGGCAGGAGCGAGGGTGGTCAGGGGCCTGCGCGGCCGTGGGCATCACCCGGGGGCCTGGGGGGCTCGGGTAGCACCTGGGCAGGCTGTTTCTCCAAGGAAATAGCCTCATGATGGGTGATGCTGAGGGCTATGGGGGCCAGAAGCAGATGCAAGGCAGGAGACAGCCCTGCTTGTGGGGCCCCGAGGAGAACTTCGGRCTGCAGACCGTGCTGAGCCCGGGCGGAGCTGGACGCCCCGCACGTGCGGCGTCACGCAGGGTGCTCGCGGCGGCGGGTGCTCGCTCACCTGCACGAGGAAGCCGTACTCCAGCGTGGGGACGTTCTTGCAGTGGCCGCCAACCTGCGGACAGAGGCGGAGCAGGGCCAGCTGCGTCATCCCCTTTCCCCCGCGCAGCCGCGGCCTCCGCACGGCGCCTGCACCCGGGACACCGCGCATGGCCACGGGTCTCCGCTAGGGCCCTGCCAGTGCCATGGGGATGGTGACGTGCTCCCAGGGCTGCAGCCACACGTGGGGCATGTCCCCAACCCAATCCCACCAGATCCCACCGAGAGCAGGGCTGAGATCACCCCACCTAGCCAGAGACCCAGCTCTCCCGCCCTCGGTGCACCCAAGGGTGCTGGGCACGCGGTACAGCGGCGAGAGCCACTCCGGGACACAGCCCAGCCCAACACCCTGGGCAGATCTCCCTGGCACCRCCAACCCCGGCCAAGACGGTTGTCACCACGGCCAAGACCCTGCCGGGCAGCCCTGTGGCTACCCGCCATGCACGGTGGGACACGGGAAGGGCAAGGAGAGCAAAGCAAGCCCCGAGCCGGGGAGGCACCCACCAGGATGTTGAAGGGGGCGACACCTGCCTGGCTGCTGGGCGGGTAGCCRAAAACCTCCACCTTGGGGTTCTTCACCGTGCAGGAGACGGAGCGGTTCATGAGGCGGTTGCCGCGCACCTCGGGCATGCCCAGCTTGCCCTTGAGCACCGAGTCCTGCAGGACCGGGAAGCTGGGCGACCTGCGGGCACAGAGCCGCGCTGAGCCCCCGCCGGCCACGTTGGACAGGCCGCCCAGCGGGGAGGAAGGCCCAGCCCCGTCCTCCTCCCTCCTCAAGAGGTGGCAGGGAGCCAGGCTCCGTCCCTAAGCCACGCTAGTTGTTTCTCCCCACTGATCCSCTTCCTTAAAACCAGCTCCACATTCACATTTTAGGTATTTCTGGGGAGCTGCCTTGACCTGCTTGGGCTCTTGCAGAGGGTGGCATTAGGTGACGGTACCTGAGGTGCAGACGGGGAAACCGAGGCACGGGGCCAGGACGAGGTTCCCAAGCCAGGCCCAGGGTGACGGCCCCCAGGGCTGTCCCCGGAGCAGGGCCGGCGTGCGGGGCCTTACTTGGGGATGGGGGAGAAGATGCTGAGGCCGGCGCGGAACTTCTTGATGGTGCCGCTCGTCTTGAACCAGCTGTGCCGCTTCTCCTGCTGGCTTTTCAGGAAGTCGTTGCTCAGGTGCTTCCATTGCTGCGATGTGAACATGCCCAGGATCCTGCGTGGGGATGCGATGTGGGCGCCCCGGTCGGGCACACGGGGCCACGGGTCCCCAYGTGGTGCTGGGCACACGCAGCGCCACGGCGTGGGGGCCACGTCCCCACGGAGCCGCCGGCCGCCGTGCGGCCGCTCTTACTTCTTGAGTTGCAGCCCCAGGCCGAAGCCCTCCTTGTTGGACGGCTGGAAGACCTCRATGGACGGCTCTGCGGAGAGAGCGCGAGCGCTGCCGGTGCTGCCGGGCCGCCCCCGGAGCCGCGGGCGCCCCTCGGGCACGGCCGCCGCGTCCGCACTCACCGGGGCCATCGAGGTACTGCGAGAGCGAGAAGCGCAGGCGCAGCACGATGGGCTCGGCGCGCAGCACCTTCCAGGCCGTGGCCACCTCCTCCTGCCGAGGCAGAGCCGCGGGGTCGGCGGCGCCGCGGGCGCACGGGCGCCGCGGCCGCCGCCGCCGCCACTCACATCGAGGAAGCTGATGTTGACGTGCAGGTCGATGTCCACGTCGTCGATGGTGCCATACTCCCTGCGGGGAGGCGCGTGGGTGCCGCCGCCATCCGCCCGCCCGCCCGTGGTGCCGCCGCCGCGCGCCACCGCACGCACCTCACGGACACGGCGCCCTCGCCGTAGAGCTCCTTGACGGCCTCGATGTCGGCGTCCAGCTGCGGGTGCCGGTACAGGTCGGCGGCGCAGGTGCCCTGCGGGCGCAGCCGGCGTCAGCGGCGGCCGCGGGGCCCGGCACCGCCGCCGCGGCCACCCCGCGCCCACCTGCACGCCATAGAGGAACTCCT